ACTAATTCAAAAAAGGCAAATCTTTTAGGTCACATACAATCACCTTGCATTTCATCTTGAGGCAGAGCTAGAAGTACACATCTGTTTCAAAGACATAAAGCCAACTCTCAAAAGGCAAATTTTTGGAGAACACCCAAAAATATGGGACTTGAGAATGAGTTTTGCAGTGCATCAGATTAACTGACTCAAGTGTGAATGCAGCATCTGGCTCAGAGGGAATGCTTTCATGAATTCCAAGTCTAGATAGGTCTTTCAACTACTACAGTATGGACGGTGATGAGATTGTTCCCTCCTTTGAAGTCATCACACTTATAGTCTGCTTTAGGCAAATAACACTTAATCAAGTACTATCTTCCATTCCATCCCTCGTGTTGTCTTGTCTAGTTTTTTAACTTATTGATGTATGTATACAAGCCTCAGGTGGATTTTAGGCTCTTGGACTACAGGAATTGTATACAACACTTCTTTTATTTCTTTTTTTTTTTTAAAGCTACATTTCTTTTATTCATCCTAACATCTAATACCTAGCAGACAGCCCTCCACATAGTAAGCACTCAAGTATTTAGTGACTGGAGATATGAAGGCCTATAGAAAAAGAGAAAATCATGCAATCACTAGACAAAAGACTACCTAAATTTGTGTATCTAACTCCACAATTGGTCTGGAATTGTTAGCAGAGAAATATCCTTCTGGCAAACAAACAAAAAGGCAACACAAATTTAGGATAAACAATCTATGTAGCAAGGTAGTGTCAAACACATCCATTTTACCCAAACCATAGAACAAATACCATACCAGTAACATGACAGACACCAAAATGAAACTTTGCAGCAAAAAACAAATGTTTATATCTGACTGTAAATTATAATCTTGTGTGCTTAGAAACATGTTCATTTAGACAGTATTAAAAAGTAGGATGTTAGTCCTAAAATCCAAGAGTTAAATTTTTAATTCAATTTCAATATTTATAATTTTAACACTTTCAGTGTATAGCTAAGAGGACCAAGGTACAGCCCAGAGAAGGTAAGTGACATGCTTTAAGATTATTCAGGATGGTGGTCAGAAAAGGTGCTGTAAGACTCAATTTTCTGATCCTTTATACAATGTGAGGAAAGCTGCCAATCAGAAATTATCTACTGGTCGGGTACGGTGGTTCACGCCTGTAATCCCAGCACTTTGGGAGGCTGAGGTGGGTGGATCATGAGGTCAAGAGATAAGAGACCATCCTGGTCAACATGGTGAAACCCCATCTCTACTAAAAATACAAAAAATTAGCTGGGCATGGTGGCACATGCCTGTAATCCCAGCTATTCAGGAGGCTGAGGCAGGAGAATTGCCTGAACCCGGGAGGTGGAGGTTGCGGTGAGCCGAGATCGCGCCATTGCACTCCAGCCGGGGTAACAAGAGCGAAACTCCATCTCAAAAAAAAAAAAAAAAGAAATTATCTGACTAAAGGAAGGTTTGCATGGAAGAATTAAAGTTACTATATATCTCTTCCTTTTAAAGTTAGAAGAAATTTATTGGGTTTTCACAGTAGAATTTTTTTTTTTTTTTTTTTTTTTTTTTTTTTTAGGAGATCAGATCTCACAATGTTGCCCAAGCTGGAGTACAGTGGCTATTTACAGGTGCTATGATCAAGGCACACTGCAGCCTCGAATTCATGAGCTCAGGCAATCCTCCCACCTCACTCTCTAAATTAGCTGGGATAACAGGAAAGTGTTACCATACCTGGCTCATAATTGAATTTTGACAGGAACTTCAAATACATTAGACTAGAAATGTAATTGATTCACACATATTCCTTTTCTGCGAGCCTCTGACATTGAGTTCACTTCTACCTTAGTCTGCACAAGAAGTTTCTCCTTTTCCTTTTTCCACATCTTACTACTTGCTTCTATTTTGTAATCTAAAGTTTCTTTTTGTAGTTCTCATCAACACAATAAAGTGAAAGAGATTTTTGAAGTCTTGTTTTAAATTTGCATTTCTAAAACTGGGATCTAATGACTTGTTTTCACAGATTTGAGATTTTCTCAGGTTTTAAGACACTGGTTTTATTTTCCTAAGCATACTCTGAGTTACTTGAACATCCACCTCATAATCATGCAGGAATATGATTTCAGTGACCACATTTGATTCTGTGCTGAAGATTACATTCACACATTCACACTACACTAAGTCTCCTTAAATGCAGTATTCTTCAGACTGGGTTCCAAAGTCTGATTTGGCACTAAAGTTTGAATAATACTGATGCAGATTTTTATATTTTCCCAAGTTCTCTTTTTAGACTTTACTTGGTGAAAGGTTGGATGTGGTGGTTCTCACCTATAATCCCAGCACTTTGGGAGGCCAAGGCAGGAGGATCACTTAAGCCCAGAAGTTTGAGACCAGCTTAGGCAACACAGGGAGAACCTGTTTCTAAAAAAAGGAAAAATAAAAAATTTAACAATTGGCTGGGTGTGGTAGTGAATGCCTGCAGTCCTAGCTACTAAGGAGGATGAGGCGGGAGGATCACTCAGGTCCAGGAATTCGAGGTTCCAGTGAGCTACGATCACACTACTGCAGTTCGGCTTGGGCAACACAGCAAAATCCTGTCTCCATTAAAAATAAACATAAAACGAACAAATAAATGTGTGTCTACTATATGCGAATACAGCAGTGAATAAAAGAGACCAGAACCTGTCCTGAGAAAGCTTATCATTCTGGCAGGAAAACTCAACATTACTAATGAAAACGTCTGGGTTCCTTGACTAAAATCACAAAGAGTAGAGCATTTTAAAACACACATCAGTTATCTGCCCTCCTTGTTAACAGCTACTACGTATCTGAGAGCCCATACTTATCTTCATATTCTCAAAATATCCTAAGAGTCTGAGGTCAACTTTGTTTTACCTGTCTGGAGACAGGTAAATCGATCCTCTTTTAAAAATTATTCAAAGAAATTAAATCTCCTTTCTTTGCTTTAAGTTATCCTTCTCATAACTGGACAATGAAGCAACCCAAGTAGATACTCTCTGGTTGCAAAATAATTTTATAGAGAGATTTATATTCAGTGAGGTTTTGACAACACATTTTTTCTGTGTGTCTGGGAAGTTTCTCTGGACAGAAATCAATCAAGCTAAAACTGTTAAAAAAAGCCTGAAGTGCACTTCTAAACTCAAGAAAAGGTCATGGATAGATGCTAACCAAGACAGTGCAAAAACTCCCAAAAATTTAACCTTGGCTGGGCATGGGCTCACACCTGTAATCCTAGTGCTTTGGGAGACTGCGGCAGGACAGCTTGAGATAGCTGGGAGTTAAAACCAGCCTGAGCAACATAGAAGGCCCTGTCTCTATAAACATTCTTTTTAAATGAGCCAGGTGTGGTAGGGCATGCTTGTAGTCCTAGTCCTAGCTACTGGGGAAGATTGTTTGAGCCCAGGAGCACTTCAGGTTGGGCAAGAGAGGGAGATCCAGTCTCTAAATATAGATAAATAAAAATGAAAATGTAACCTTAATAACTTTGAATAGGACAACAGATGAGATTCAGAAAAGAGTAGCTTTGTCCTACTTGCTACGGCTTTAATGTCCTTGTTTAAAAAAAGAGAGAGAGCTTAAGAAGTCCCAAAGACACATGTTATCAAATAAACGCAGAATTTAAATTTGTAATGGAGTAATTAAAGAATGGCAAAATCCTTGAACAAGAGTATCTGCATAGTTTTCAAGTATCTTAGTTTCTGGGCCAAGTTTTCTAAGCAGCATCACCAAAGGAATATTATGGAGTCAAGACCTGGAGAACTTTGGTGCAATTTCTCTCCTTTAGCTTACTCTAATTCATGATTTCTCCTATTGGGCTTTATTATTGTTTATCGTTCTTTAGTATGATTATTCTTACTTATGATTGTTATTAGTGGTTTTTACCAACCCCTCCAGAGTTTCCCAGAAAAAGTGCCAGCTGTATCAGAAAAGAAGTGTACAGATAATAGGACTAAGCAGTATGAGTAGTTCAGTGAAAACTGGGAGAATCCCACCACAATCTTTTTAGCAGCCACTATGATGAGGAAACAAACTTAACTAAAATACAACTCCTTATCTGACAATAATACAAATATGAACGCCTAAAGTCAGTAGTAGTAGCAAAGTCGTAACCTGGCTGTGTTAAGATTTCTAGCCCAAATTAAGCCTCTGCATTAAAACATGCAGGTACACAAGGACGGCCAGATGCACACTGAGAGCTCTACTTGTCACCACATCTGACACAGTAACTGAAGCAGGGAAAAACTGACTTTCCTGAAGGAGCTTCTTCCTCAGAAACAGCAGGGCCTCAAGCCTATCTAACTCTGGAGGCATCGACAATCCAAATTCTAGACCAACTCTTGGCCAAGCTAACTTTCATGGTGTCCACTAACTCCACGATAACAATACACAATCTGGCTACAATCAAGCCTTTCCAATTCTCCAAAGCATCTCTAGTCTTACTCGTCCTTCGTAGGTCAAGATAGAAGCAAAGCGACTGACACAAAGGCCAGTCGTCCCAAGGAGCTTTTTGCATGGCTCCGCTACGGCCACTTATGAAATATTCCTAAACTGGGGGCTCAATGCCCCCGCGCTTCTGCCCTTCCTCAATCCCGCCCCGGCCGGTAAGCCTCTGCCTGGGAGCCCCTCCGCTTGGAACAAAGCGAGGGGCCCCGGCGGTGGGGGCAAGAGGCGCCAGACGCACGGGGGCTGCCGCACCGCGCACAATGAGAAACTATCAACTTCAGAGCGCAGGAACATCCTCAATTGGCAAGAAAGAGGGGCGGCGGCAGGCACGCCCAACTTCAAACTCAGGAAACCTACGGGCTGGCGGCCGTCTGGGAAAAAGCCCCCTTCCCAGGGAGAGAAGAAAAAGGCAGAGGAGATGCGAATCGCCCACCGGGCCCCGGAGGGGAGCCCTGCCCTCAGACCGGCCCCCGCCCCCGAGGCCCGCTTCCCCGCCTTCTCTCTGCCTCTGGTTCGCTGCCCCAGGCCGGGCGGCCGGTTACCTTGATGCGCTCCCGGCACTGGGACGGGGTCCGCTCGTAGCCCAGCTCGGCCAGGGCCCGGGACACGCGCTCGTACATGGCTGGCCCGGGGGCCTTGCTGCCGAACACCGTGCCGGCTCCCTCCAGCTGCTGGTACCGCGCCTCCACCAGCCGCTCGTTGCCCCACACTGCGATGAGCGCGTTCGTCTCGGCTGGCGTCCACGACATGCCCCGGCAGGCGGCGGCGGCGGCTGCCGCAGCCCCGCCACCGCCGCCACCAGGGGAGAAGGAGACCGAGGACGAGGCGGCGCTGCGGCCCCCCAGCCCCAGCCCAAGACCCCCGGACGCCGCTGCCCCCGAGCCCGCCGCACTGCCCGGCCCGAGCGGGGAGGCACCCCGAGGCGTGGAAGGGTCGGACAGCGATGGATTTCCGTCGCTCAGGCCACCAGGAGAAGCCGGGGAGAGCACCTCCATCTTCGGGATTTTTAGCGGCGAGTTGGCGGGCAGCTCCGAGCCACAGGGCGCAGCCATCTTCCAAGCCGCCGCCGCTGCACCGCCCGGAAGTGACGCGCCCGCGCATCCGGCCACCGCGGTCTCCGGGGCTGCCCTCGGGCCTGGCTCGCCTGAGGGCGGACGGCTTCGGGTCTCTGCAGCTGAGGATGTGGCTGCCGGGTGGAGGTCATCCGATCCCCTGGGCCTTTCTCCGCGAGCCCTCCCACGCCGCCCGCTCCTCTCCCGGGGCGAGGGGCGGGAACGAGGCGCGCCGAAGCCCCGAGCTGAGGAGAAGGGTGGGGGCATGAGGGCGCTGGAGTGAGGAACAGATTGGAGCCTTCCCACTTCCTCTCCAATCTCAGCCCCCGGGAGGAGGGGTGAGGCCCGCGAGGGGGCCCGGAGTTAAGGAGGAATTGACCATTTATTTCTCTCTCCTGTCTCCCCCGCCTCTGCCCGTCTTCCCTCAAAGCCGGCCTCTAGGTGCAGAGGCTGACGTCCAGGGTGGAGACCAGGGAAGCCTCCGGGGGGTGTATCCGGGAAGCCACCGAGGCTGGAGGGATCGCGGTTCTGGGGGCGGGGGGGGGGGCTTTAAAAAGCAAATATGGACGAGGATAGAGTTCCTACGCTATAGCTTTTCAAGAAACCCAGTCTCATTAATTGAAGAACAGCAGCTATTTAATTCCAGTTATCAACTGTTGTTTTCCAGTTAGTCTGGGTAGGTGTGACCGTTTGTAGAATAGTCTTCATTGCGTTGGTCCAGTTGTACCAATTGAACATGTAAAAAAACTCCTGAGCCCAGCAGAAAAGTTAACTTCACAATACCGTTCTCCATTCTCCCTGCTTTGGAAGTTGCATCGTGTTCCCGGTTTTTCATACTCCAAGAACACTATCAATTATGACAGCTCTGTGCTCTGTGTGAATTAGTGTTATTAGCCACTCCTGAACGTTCCTTAAAGTGCTGGAACTTAGCAGTAGCACGCCACATCCAGTACACAGCTGTGCGGTATTTCCCTGTTCTCCAAAGCTGAAAATCTTAACTGTATATCTTGGATCATTAACTTAAAAAACTCAGCGGATTTTTTTTTTTTTTTCAAAACAGGCTTATAACTGAGGATGCTGACCAATGAGTTCAAATACACTATGCGATATTTTTAAAAATAACAAATGTGTGTTAGTTTTTTTAAGCTGAGGTCAGCTACGTTTGGGGCGGGGGACATGTGCTTTTTAAAATTACTGTTTCAATTGATTTTTTAGGGGGGAACAGGTGGCATTTGGTTACATAAATAAGGTTTCTAGTGGTTATTTCTGAGATTTTGGTGCAACCATCACCCGAACAGTGTACACTGTACCCAACGTGTAGTCTTTTATCCCTTCACTATCCCCCCGCCCAGCTTTTCCCCCTGAGCCTGCGAGTCCCTAAAGTCCAATGTATTATTCTTATTGAGATCAGCTAAATTTTTAACTCTGAGACTCACTGGAGAGAATGACTGTGGTTGTCTTTGGTTGATACTGCAAAGCCAAAGGATTAAGCAATTGGGATAAAGTAGAGGAGGAGATAATTGTCTTTGTATGTCATGTGAAAATGCCACCATAGTTTATAAGCTAAAAGTAAGAAGCCTAAGGAAGTTCCCGAATTTATGATATCCTCTTCCCTTTTTTGTTGATATTCACTCGGGGTGGCTGGCAAAATATTAAAGATATATTGGGGAAAGTTATAAATTAGTCTCAAACCTTTTGGAATGCCAAAAGATTTTACTGGGGCAGGCCGAAGGCCCATTAAGTTAGGATGTAAGAAGCTTTTCCTAGTTTAAGTCTGTTTACCCTGCATCCCGTTGTCTCTGTTTACTCATGTAAACTTTGTGCTGGATGGCCCTGTTGGGGAGATCAAAAGGGAATTACCTGTTAATAGTGTTTACTCTGGGCCTGGAACCTAAAGCTTTTATCATTCGTAAAACCACTCTTTTAACCACGTTAATTATCCACAAGCATTGACTTAGAACCTCTGTTATGAATAAATGTGTGGATGGACAGAGGGTCTTGGTCGATTGGTTGCATTTCACCCTCAGAAAGGAGCCAATGGCCATCCCTAGCCCACTTGTATCACTGTAATGATGTGAGTGAATTCATTCATTCCTTAAGTCAGAGTCTGCAGGCCATACTTCTGCAGACGATGACCAACGTCTCACTTTTTTCCAAAAAAAGCTGCAGTCTAGCACCTCAGTTAAAAATATGGACTCCAAAGTCAGACTGCCTGGCTTCAAATTCCATTTCTGTGACCTCAGTAAAGTTACTTAACCAAGCTCTCAGTGCCTTGTTTTCTTCATCTGTAAAGTGAGGATGACATCACGGCATTGTTGAGAGAACTGATTTAATATAGGTAAAGTCTTTAAAATGACGCCTGGTTCACAGTAAACATTGTATGAGGACTCTAGTAGAATCTCAAACATCTGTTAAAGCAAAATTAACTCTTATTCAGCCCAGCGATAAATTTTTTAATGTCATAAGGTATTTAGTGTGTATGAAAGGGAGAGTTGTGCCTAAATGATACACTAAATCAGAGATGCCAAAGATTTGTGTGTGTGTGCGCCTGTGTGTGCGTGCCTCTGTGTGTGTGTGTGTGTGTGTGTGTGTGTGTGAGAGAGAGAGAGAGAGAGAGAGAGAGAGAGAGAGAGAGAGAGACAGGAAGACAGGGTCTCACTCTGTCACCCAGGCTGGAGTGCAGTAGTGTGATCTCAGCTCACTGCAACCTCTGCTCCCAGGCTCAAGTGATTCTCCCACCTCAGTCTTTCAATTAGCTGTGACCACAGGTATGTGCCACCTCACCCGGCTAATTGATGTATTTTTTGTAGAGATGAAGTTTTACCATGTTGCCTAGACTGATCTCAAAATCCTGGGCTCAAGTGATCCTCCCACTTCAGCCTTTCAAAGAGCTGGGATTACAGGCATGAGCCACTGCACCCAGCCTTCTAAAGAGTTTTAAAATTACTTCTTTAACCTCTCATTGTCCCAGAAGCCTGAAAAACAACAACAACAACAACAACAACAAAAACCCTCCTCCTATTATCGTGGGATCCTTGGGATGTCACTTTGCCAGCCAGAAACCTCCTTGGCTGGTGGTGCCTTTGTCCAAGTTTTGCTCAGACCCACTAGGCTCCTTCCACCCACTTTCAGCCTGGCAGGCTGCACTCAAGTCATGCTACCAGCCCAGATCCCATGCCTGCCAGGGGTGAACCAGGTGCAGAATGGCAAGGGGTGCATGAGTGAGAGAGCGTTTGGTCTGGCCACTACACACAGCCAGGCACATCAGCTATGGAAGGGTGGGCAGCTCCAGGTGCCAGTGTGGGCACTGACTTCCTATGAGGCTGCGGCTGGACCGGGTGTACTGCACATGGCTTCTACTGCTGGCACCAGGGAATGTGGTGGCTCCCAGAAGCTTGGAGACACCAGGAACTGCAGAGCCCCGAAGAGGGTATCACAGCCCTGGCTCAGGGAGCTCCTAGATCGGGGCCCCTCGAAGGGCCACAGCTCTTCTCTCCTCTCTTCTCATCATGCACAACGCAGAGAGTGAGATGCATGTTTCAGTCCTATTTGTGTTACAGCTCTTTCAGTCCCACCATTCAGCAGGTCCCAAGTTCTTGTTCTTCATCCAGGAAGAATGAGGTATGCAGACAACCAGACAACTGGAGGATGAGAAAGGGAAAGAGGTGCTTTATTGAGTGACAGTACAGCTCTCAGGAGACCCAAAGTGGATAGCTCCTTTCTGTAGGCAGGTTGTCCCAATGAGTGCAGCTGTCAGCAGAGAGAATTGGAGAGGGTAGCTCCTATCTGCAGGCAAGTCATCCCGTTACCTGCCTGAGTCTAGCTGAGTCGGGGTTTTTATGGGCTTCAGAGGGGATAAAGTGCCGGCTGATTGTTCCAGGGGTTGCTACAGGGTGGCCCCAAAAAAGCATTGTAACTTCTCACTCAGGTCCACAAAACTGGCAGCCCAACCCCAGGCTACAGGTTGTCCCTGGCTTGAAGGTGGGGACTTCATCAGGACCTACCGCTTTCTGCCCAGGAGACTACCTCCTGCCGCCGTCAACCTGCTGTCCACAGCACCCATGGCAGCCAGGTTGTTTGTGCTGAGGGGTACCTGCACACTGAGATGCCCTCAGCCTCCCTCCCATGCTTGTTGGTGTCCAAAGTCCAGAGGGGGCTGAGGCAATAGGGGCCTGGTGTATCAGTGCTGCCCTGAGCGCGAGCACACCTGGGCAGGTTGCAACAGCACCGAGGCTCACCTCAACTTGGCTCCGAAATTGGATTGGCCTGGGGAGTGGGAAGAGGCCAGACAGTGGGAGCAGGCATTTCTTAGCCTGCAAGGTACCTGAGGTACCAGTGTACTTGCAGGTACCTGAGAGTACAGGGATGCCCCGGTCTGCAGCCATGGCTGGGTGGCTGCGTGTGCCTGGGAGGGTGGTGCTCCTGCCCTGCCATCTCAGAAGGGGGCACCACAGGAGGCTGAGGCAGGAGAATTGCCTGAAACCAGGAGGCGGAGGTTGCGGTGAGCCGAGATCGCGCCATTGCACTCCAGCCTGGGTAACAAGAGCGAAACTCTGTCTCAAAAAAAAAAAAAAAAAAAAAAAAAAAAAGAAGGGGGCACCTGTTCCTGGCTCCTGCTGGCTCTATAGAGCACACAGCCTGGCTGCAGCTGGTGTCTTTGCAGTAGCCACCCCAGACAGGGCATTGCTGCTATCACTATTGCCTAATTTTGGATGATTCTCAAATCAACCCTGAATCATTCAGGAAGACTTCCTAAATAACATGGCGTGATTAAGAAGTCACCCTTCCCACAAACTTCTGTTTCTAGTTATTTCTGTATTACACCTTCTCCACCTCATTCCCATACCCATCAGTCTACATAATGATAAAAAGTTGTAACAAAAATGAAATTTCCAGCAACATCCTAAAGTTAAAACTATGCCAGTACCATAAAAGCTATTAATACATATTGCATACTATATAGGCACCGCTAAATAGGCAGCCAGGATCACATATTTGTCATACTGGCTTACCATGACTAATCCTGGATTTTGGTGGATGTGTGTGTGGTGCGAGGTGCCTGTTCAAGACTTCATAGTCCAGTCAATTTATGAAATGCCTACTGGGTTTGAAGTAGTGTGGTATGCCTTTAATTGTAGATCTAAATGATATAAGTAAATAAAAATCTGTTTAAGAAGTAATGTATGAAATGTCTCAAAAATAATATGTGCAAAAGAGAATAAGACAATACATATTAATCTGTCTGTAAACTGTCAGCTGCTCCCTTTAGTTGTATCATCCTTCATTCTCTTCCTCCACAGTCTGTGTCAAGTGTTAGTTTATCCAGCTTTCTGTGTCTTCCCTGAGGTGACTGGTCAGAAGTCCTCTATCTAATACCTACTCACACAACCTGGCACCTTGCATTCCTGTTTTCAGTTTAAAAGCTTTGTTAATTCTGTTGCATGCTCTAGC